GAACCCTAAAATTCATTAAATGGACAAATGTTTATATGTTCGTTTTCCGTAATACCTTGTTTTGGTATATCACACCTCCAAACAGATTTAACATGAATGATAAATTGTACTTTAATATCAGGTGTTTAGAAGAAGTTAACAAAATGATTAATGAGTTTTAATTCGTCGAATGGGTGGGAGAAAGAAAAAGTGGGCATATAAGTACAAAGGTTTTTAAGCTTTGTAAGACTTATTTCACAAAAACTCTCTCTTGTTCACGCCGTAGGGTGAAAATGTAAAAGTGTGAACTGAATTGGATTAGGTTCATTGAACTTGTGTACAATGGTGCGTTGTCGGTTACAAATGCACCATCTATCGACCAGAAAAGTTAAAAGAGTTTTTTTTTTTTTTTTTTTTTTTCCGATATTCTTTCTTTTCCTAACTGGAAAATAATCATTAATTATCAAATTAATCATGAAATTAAGCGATAAAAAGATATGTGGTTTTTTTTTTTTTTTTGAAACCGCATATTAGTCTACTTATGATTATCACCACTTATGTCTCAAACAATACTTGAACACATCACTTCTCAAATTAGAGAGTCACTCCATGCCCTTATTTGAAGCAATCATAATTCCATTGCGTCTCTTTCCTCGCTAACTAAATGTCGGTAAAGCATTCTTATTATTCATATGTACACATTCTTTAAGGTTGACGTATATCAAACAAAACGAGTGATCAAGAGATCAATATTTTCTTTTCCTTTCTAACTACCGGCCTTTGTAGGTTTGTCAAAACATCTAGAAACTAGGCAAACTCCTCATTTGATTTCTTATATACGGATGTAAGCATGTACACAAAGCAAGTATGTATATTCAAATTATATGCAAATATTCTAGATGTAAGAAGCCTGAATCCTCATCAGATAATAAGGACTAACTGCCAATTTGGGGAAAGGATGAATGATCAGGTAAGATTAATATAGTATTTGAGTGTCAAAAAAGAGAACGCATTAAAGTGCAAAAGATAGGACAGACTTACATCTTGGTTTTCTCTCAAGAGACTGTATATATGGTTCCCGATCTAAGCCAAAGCTCTATTGATCAACTTACTCAGAAAGAGAAAGAATAGAATTAATTACATCTACTTTTATAGACACCATATGCATATTTGTTTTCTCTGAACAATAGCTGCATTCACGAGGGGTATCCTAACTTTAACTTTATTATTATTATTATTATTATTATTATTATTATTATTATTATTATTATTATTATTATTATGTGTTGTTGTTATTAGGCAAATAAACTGGCAATATTGATCTCCTATATATGAATTTTAGAACATATAGGGCTGATACTTTTTACTATTACAGCATCTTCACAATAAAGAAATTGATCAATGTGACATGCATATAATATAACGAACTTGATAAGACATATATATATATATATATATATATATATATATATATATATATATATATATATATATATATATATATATATATATATATATATTCCTTTGTTAACTAATTATATGTCCATAGGTAATGATTCTTATTTTGATTAAAGCATAAAAGTTTTACATGGCAAGTAAACACACAATAAACTGCGTTGCTAACCTTTTTTTGGAAAATGAAACTAATTCTTTTAAAAACCACATCCAAATTCAGTTGTCCCAAAGATGAATCCGGTAGAGAATATTAATTTGAGGTGTAGTTTTTGCTTATCTACTCATGAGTTCATGGATTTTTCTTGCACGTTTATCCTTCACGCTAGCCTTGTACGTGGACGGGAAGGGTGTTGTATAACTATTGCATACATTTACTTCAAGTTTAAAGATGAATGGCTTATCACTATTTGACATCTCGAGGTTGAGACTCGATAGCGGATCTTTTTATAAATGTGGATATTATTGAAATTTAAGTTAAACTTTGGATTAGTTTGGTAATTTTAAAGGGTAGTTATTGTGTTAGTTTATAGGTTAGTTACTTGGTAGTTATTACTGGATAAGTTGGTAGTTATATGGAAGTTAAGTTAGTTATTAACCACCAATGTGAAAGGATGTGATGGCTAGTTGTTGTGAAAGGCTGTGTTGGTTGAAAGTTGTATATGTTTGTCAATATATATGTCCAATGTAAATATGTAATCCTGCGTGGAGATGATAAATTTTCTTTTTATTGTGTAAATAAAAGTTCATGTACTCACATTGTGTAAAGAATATATATCTGCAGCTTTGGATATATAATCATGGCATTGTGTGCACATGCCTAAATCTAGACCACTGCAATTTGTTTAAAAAGAAGAGACTAAAGTTTATGAAAGGATGGGGCACTAAATAAATTGATTAGCACTAATTATTCCAACAATGTTCTATAAATATTGTTTCCCAATCTAATCGGCCTTGCTATATCTAGAGAGAGCACGTAGTTCCATAATTAAAAAATCAGCAATATGATAATTCTATGTCATGGACCTCATATATGTCTCTCATCTCCCCAATGGGTGACCGAGATAATACTTTACTTAGAACTAGATGTTCTGTTCACATTATCTTTTATGTATGTATATGTTATTTGTTAGTGTATATTAATGTTTTCTAGGACAATGTAACCTTTGTACAGGTCTCCACTATCCTATACATTCATTTCTCCTTCATTTTTGTCCAAGACTTTATAAGAAGACACTTCATCAACTAACTAGCAATGATGCATGCATTATAGGAAATGTATGATCGAGTTTATATTAGATATAATCAAATGGAGATTAAAGTATCGATGATTCGCTGCCATTATTAACAGTAATTTATATCTTTCAAAATAATTTATGTGCTATACTCGTAAATTGTTCCTATTATGAGATGTTACTAAAAAGTTTTAATCAGACAAATTCAAGTTAGTTTTGTGTGAAAATAAATAGATATACAGAACTAATCTATTGGTTACGTATAACAAAAAGAAGTAGCCATAAATGATGTGCTTTTGTTTGGTAAAATTGATGTGGTTGAGAAAGGAAAATCAAGGATGTTACATGAATTAATATACATATAAGAAACATTAAGTCATAACTTTCTGTGCATGTGAGCAAACAGATGAATATAATATCACACTTAATCGGCAGGGTCTCAGAAACATATATGTATAATCATAAATTAATTAGGTGAAGAAGTTATGCTTAGAGGGTGCTAAAATTACCAAAATGATTGTGTTCCAATACTAAAATGAAAATAATTAAGGGTGCACGCTTGGTGTATGTATATAACCCTATCACTTGGTGACAAAAATTAAAATAAGTTGGAACTAAAGCTTCTAAAAAGCTCATCTAACTATATTAAGAAGTGCATTCAGATCCGTTAAGTAAACACCATATTCTCACTCTCATATATGGAACTACTAATTCATACATATGTATGTGTATAGTATAAGTATATATGTAATATAACTCTATAACTATTGTTTTAATATATATATATATATATATATATATATATATATATATATATATATATATATATATATAATTTAGAGAGACATTATTATATAAGTTTTGAATGTCATGTATCCTGTATTAATGAGAGAATAATTATTATTACTTCAATTATCATGAAGAAAAGCTATTGCCTATTCATAGGTTAAACTACAAAATGAAGCATTTAGAATAGAAAAGAAAAATTAAAAAAGAAAAAGAAAAGAAAGATATATGCTTGAAGTTGTAACACGAAATGTGAAGTCTGATAAAGAGATGGAGGAGTACTGTAAAAAAGAAAAAGAAAACACAAAGAAGGGGACCTGGCTAGCTAGGGAGTTATAAATTAAAATTGAACCTAAACAGAAAGGAAAGGACATATATGTATTTGTGTAAAATGTAGTATGTGAAGATATGGAAGAAACAGGTAAAGAAGAATAGCAAGAATTAATGATAACTCTTCTTGAGGGATGTCTAGTAACAAGCAACATGCACAGAGAAAGAAAGAGAGAAAGAAAGCCTTTTCTGTGTGTGTATTGCTTGGGAGAGAGAGAGAGAGAGAGAGAGAGAGAGAGAGAGAGAGAGAGAGAGAGAAGTACCTGCTGAGATATATATATATATATATATATATATATATATATATATATATATATATATATAGAGAGAGAGAGAGAGAGAGAGAGAGAGTCTCTAAAGGAAGGTAGCAGCGGCAGCGACAAGAGCAACAAACCTACAAAAGGTAATAAAAACAAAAAAGAAGAAGAAAGAAAGAAACCCAAGTCCTTCCTCTTCGATTTTTTCTTCTTCTTCTTCAATCACATTGTGTTCTTACGGACAAAAGTCAGCATACTTATTACTTCTTCCGTTCTTCTTTTTACCGTATTCTTCATAAAGATAAAGATAAAAAGATCAAAAGGAAAAGGAGAAAAGCCGATCATCTCCTGTGAGAAACGTAGCATGTATGCATATATACTAATTAAAGGGAAATATATGTATATATTATTTAAGAAATGAAAGATTAGAACTTTAACTAAGGAAACATTGTAGGAAATCATAGATTATACGTAGTAATTAATAAAAAGGTAACGTTAGTCAATAGCTTAGTAATATTAATAGTGAAGGTGTAAATGAATTTATAACCAGAAAATTGTACATTAGGCTAATAAAATTAAGTAGCTGAAAACTAAAAATCAGTTTAAACCTCTCACTTCCATTTGTTTGCAGCAAATCACTCTATATATAGCACTCTCTACTCATCTTCTATTTCAATCATCGATCATCAACAACCACAGCGCTACCTATCCATCAAGAACACCCCGGATTTCTGATTCCACCCTCTAAAAATATACCTTCAAATTCTTGCCGCTAGCTGGATGATCTCTTCAAATGTTTACTTTTGGGAACAAAAAATATTGATCATATCAGATCAAAACTCTTGGGCTAGCTACTCAAATATAAATGTATCCTCCGATAATTAAGCCACATGCGTGGTAGCTATATGATCTCTTATTTTGATGGCAGATGGGTGGATAGGATGGATAACTAATTGTGTGGTCAGATATCCAAATCCAAGGACATATGAGAGGACGATGATTTGGTGTTTTTGTTGAAGGCTTCAACAGAAGAAGAAGAAGACACCATTGTGGTTTGATGGAATTGGGTTTCTTCTCCGTAATTAGGCCTCAATTGCAGGTAAGGTATGGTAGAAGAAGAAGAAGATGGTGGCGGCGGATTATGGTGAGTGGGATAGTGTTCATGGTGGTAATTGCCATGATTATAGTGTCCCACGGGAATGGAATTGGTGGTGGGGGAGATTAATTCACCTGGAAGCTGGTCATAGTCTTGCTCGTCGTCATCTGAGATAGGGCAATCCATGTTAACGCCAAACAACCGGAGCCGCTTAGCTGCTGCTTTCCCATGAACAACTGGAACCGATTCAAACACTACACCTGGTGCTGGACCTGGTAGTGCCGGTGGATCAATCCCAATCCCAATCCCAACCCCACTTCTTTGCTGCATTTGCATCATATCCGCATGTTGTTGATGTGGGATACCACCTGCACCTGATCTGAAGTAAATCACCGATGATCCTGAACCTCCTTGATTCACATTCACTACGCTACCAGTACCTATGTTGTGGTAAGGGGAACCGCCGGAGCTGCCATAACGGTAAGAATTAGGAGGGGCGGCGTAGCTGTTTGGGGGCTGTAGCATCAAGTTAGAGTGGCTCCGTGGGGGTGCTGGCTGGGATTGGAAAAAAAGTGGGTTCCAACTGACACCGGCAGTGTTCCTGTTGTGGAAAGAAAATTGATGATGTGGTAGTGGGAAGGAGAGATTGGATGACAATTGATAGGGCGGAGCTTGTGCATCCGGGCGGTGCCTCCAGTCTATGAACAAGCGATCTTTGGCGGAGCCACCGACACCTCTTTGGAAAGAGACTATATCTCCGGCATCAAGCTTTTTGTCTTTAACAAAACGGCTCCAACCCTTGGTCATCACATAGCTTTGGCTGCTGTTCCAGTAGGAGTATCTAAACCTCCAGGGTTTTCCATTCCTATCTTCAAAATTAAGAAGGAGACCCTTATCGTTGGTGGAGGAATCCAAGGGGAAATACCTCTCGGCATGTTGTTTTGGAATCACAAGACGATTCAGCTTACCCACATCACTTGGAGTCACCACTTTATCAAACATGTGCTCCCTCTCTACCACCATCATCATCCCTCCTCCTCCTGCAACAGCTTGATGTGATGATTGTTGGTCATCATCATTAATGTTTATCGGGTGCAGGTTGGGGGGACCGAAGAGTAGTCCATAATCATGGGGTCACTTGGCCGTGATGAAGTGCCGTCAAACACCCAACCCCCACGCTGATTCTGGTGGTTGTAGGGAGGTTGATGAAGAAAGTTGGGTGGTGGTTGATGTTGATGTTGATGATGAGAAGAAGATGGGGAAGAAGATGAAGAAGAAGGGAATAACTGACCTGCTGGGGCCGTGTTTTGTCTTTCTTCTTCGTCTTCTTCTTCAAACAAATTCCCTCCTCCTCCACCTCCTCCTCCTCCTCCTCCTCCTCCTCCTCCTCCGCCCTGCTGTTGTCTTCTACTGCTGGTGCTACTACCACTATCGCCGGTGCTCTTACCCATAAAATTCATGATGATTTGTGTGCTTGCGTTTGGTATCCAGGATATATCAAATATAAATATGTGGATCTCTCTCTCTCTATATATATATATAGCTAGGTAGCTAGCTACGTAATTCAGCTAGCTTCTGTTGCTGTATCCTCTTGGGCATGTGAAGAGTACGTACGTATATCCATGGAAGCAAGAAATGAAATTGAGAGCTAGCTTATGGGATATGGGGTGTTGGAGAAATTGACGCTGAGTTATAAAAAAATATTGATGAGGATGATGATGATGATGATGATCTTAGAGGGAGGAGAGGTGGTGGTGTGGGGATGTAGGTACTATTGGTGTGTTGGCTTTTTCCGAAGGGTTATATTTACTTATGGTAATGAAACATCTAGCTAGCTAGGGTTGACATAAAAGAATTATTGGAAAAAGATTGGGAACTAACTCACCCCATTAATTCCAAATTACCTCTCAACTAATAATATTCCCACTTCCACAATTATCTTCACCAATTAAACTTGATACCCTTCAAAAATCACAACCCATTCCATCAATCTGCAGTTTCCTTACTTCCATTTTGACTTGCTAACCTGCTTGACTTCTCTCTCTCTCTTCTCTCTCCATCTCATAAAACACACTGTTCACGCAGTGTCTGTGTGTGTGAGAGAGAAAAAAAGAAAGAAAGAAAGAGAGATATTATTTATGCAGTGTGGGGGTGGGGATTTGAGTGCTTACCTGGAAGCTTCTCCCACATAGCCCGATATTTTTCCCCTTTCGGTCATCAATTCGCTTCTTACTTTCGCATTAACTGATATTACATTTATTATTATCATAATTATTATTATCATAGGTGTTATTCTAATTATGTATTCCATTAATACTTGTGCCTATATATTTATATATGCCTCCGACTTCTAATTTAATGTTAATGCTAATTGTTTCCTTATTCTCTAAAAACTTGATAATATTAGTTTTACAAGAAAATAAATTGCAAACAAGACTTAATATGGTGTGTGTGTGGTCTATATTAATTAATATGCTAATATATAATTTGTCTTCTAATAACAAAAAAATTAAGTTCGAATTCTTACAATCTAGACTGGTCCACATTTTTCATGTGGAGTTGATATAAAATGTCAACATATACACAGTATGGACACTTCCTAGCTACGTCAAAAATTCAAAATCAGAAATGCAACAGTATCTTACTATTGATCATGGTGTATATGTTGGCTTTTGTTTGTGAAATTCCAAACCATGTTAGCTTTACAACTGCAAAACATATTTATGCTTTCAACTATTTCATATGGATCCCTAAAATTAAAATTGATTTGAAGAAATGGATATATATATATATATATATATATATATATATATATATATATATATATATATATATATATATATATATATATATATATATATATATATATATATATATATATTATAAAGAAGAGGTCGGGGAAGAGAGGGGTCCATGAGTTATCTGGTTGGGCTCATGTGAGGTTGCCTCTGTCATATGGTCCTGGACCTGGGGCTGCGTGTATTCCTTCCTATTTTCAACTACTTCCTTCCCTTCCCATCCCCTCCAAATTGTGCCAGTTGTTTCCTATTTTCAACACCTTCAAGCATATATTACTTTATTACAACTTAATTATATTGTTTATTGGTTTTATAAGATACCAATTATTTGGAGCTCAGCATGCATATATATATATATATATATATATATATATATATATATATATATATATATATATATATATATATATATATATATATATATATATATATATAAATCTAATCCTACTGTGTTAATTATATATAATAATAATTTGGCCACATGTATGTGTAGCCTGACATCAATAACTGTGTGTTATTCTATTGACCCTCTTTGTCACTTTGTCCTGTACGGAAACTTCATCTGTTTTGGAGGGTTCTTCAGGGCCGAGTAATTAATTTACATATAAAAATTTATTAATTTTCATGGGTGAGGTTTAGACTTTAGTCACACACTTCTAACTTGATGGTTACAAACTCCCAAAGACTTAGAGCCCAACCACCTAAATTATAATACTGTGGTCCACCTATATATATATGTTATATATATAATATATAATATATCCCACCAGTTATAATTATTCTCCTTCCTCACATCAGCCAACATCTTTTTCTCATAGGTGAAAATTTATATTAAATATCATCATAATAAGACCTCCATCACATCATTCTTTTCCCTCGTACATAATTAAATCTGATAATTAACATTTTTTTGCTTGGTTAATTTGGCGAATATGTATATGTATAATTAATAACCCTTTTCATATGATGCATGTCTATTTGTGTATGTTTGGCGTGTGTGTGTGTGATAGGTTTTCTTGGGTGAGAACCTTTCATGTGCTTTGATGGCATCTAAAGTCTCATTATGAATTATTAAAGTGGAATGGAACCAAACCATGGGTAAAGTTGCCATCTTTCTAGGTAATGTGAAGTGTTGGGTACGTACATAGCTATTAACTGGTTTAATATATATATATATATATATATATATATATATATATATATATATATATATATATATATATATATATATATATATGCTTGAAATTAATTATGTAAAGTAGTGAGTGAATTGGATATATTATATAAAGTAGATGTAAATATATATAAATGATGATGATGATGATGATGATGATGATATGATATGTGTAAAACAAACGTGGATTAAATAGGGCCGTCCTTATGATGATCTCGCGGGCTGGCCTGGCCTGGTTGCATTTGCATGTCTTGAAACGTTGATGGATCATCCATTCGGGACAGTGTTTAACTTATTAGGTAAGGGAAGAGGACCACCTAGTTTTCAGGCCATGCTGCTGCTTGATTGCTTTGATTGACAACCATGACACTAGATAGATAGCTCTCTCAATTGGGAGGGGAAAAAAGCCAACTTGTCCTCTAATTCCTTACTTCCATCCATTTATCTCACTTGCTACGACACTCCAGTTTCATTTATAATGTTTCCTACCTTTCCAAAATGATCTCGTACAATTATTATTATTATTATTATTATTGTTATTATTATTATTATTATTGTTATTATTATTATTATTATTATTTTCTTTAAATTTATATATACGTACATATATATATGATATATCATATATATATTGCACATTGACTAGTCATTATACCCATTTACAATTAACATAATCATTGATGTTTATGAGAGGAAATAATGATGATAATAATATTTTTGGTCTCCAAAAGCATAACCCAATAAATATTATTAAATAGAGATGGTGTTTAGTCACAATGCTCTAGGTGTACGTTCATGCATTCCTCTACACGGGTTTCTTAGCCTTGAAATATAAAAGAATCAAAGCATCTACAGGCTTAATTTATTTAGTTAATTAACTAAATCGCATCTTACACCTCTCGGGTCTCCACATCCCTCCCAAAAACAGAAATTAAAGACGTTGATTTCAAATTCAAAGATTTGCTTCGAGTTCTTCTGGTTGTTGAAAGAAACTTTGCACTTTTGAGTTTATTTGGATATTGAAGTTTCTATACAACGACAGGAAGCACCATAAATGCTGGAACCAAGTCCAGAATTTTCTGTTAGAAATGAAGTTTTGTATGTACAACACTCTATTACAAGTAATACTGAAACATATTTCTGTCAAAAGTTGAACTTTTACTATTTTATAGTTTCAGGAGTGTCTATAACATTGTTAATGGATTGTGTTTTTACCATAAGCGAAAAGGAGCATGTCATGTGAAAAAAGAATGATTTGTACATATATATATACATACTGCATGTTGTGCAAATATATATGGAAGCTATATAATCTAATTATTAGGAAGAAACTGTGATGAAAAACTAAACAAGAATGACCAAATACAAATGATCTTTATTTCTTGATGAGATTGTAGGGGAAGAGAGTACAGAGATGATTCAGCCAAAACTAAAAAACTGGAATATGAGAACCGAAAAAAGAAAATTTTGAAAACGCGTTTGATTCGTTCAGTTTTCCAAAATTTTCGAAGAAAAGGAAATTTTTTAGTTTTCCAAATTGTATATAAATTAGAAAAGTAATTTTTACAGTTTTGCAAATTTCTAAGATGGAAAATGAAAACTCCCCCGGTTTCAACCAAACGCGTTTTCTAAAATTTTCATTGAAAATTGAAAATAAAAACTCAACTCTATTTTCTCAAAACATTTTCTTTGAAAAATGAAAACAATTTTCCACAACCAAACGTACACTTAAGGTGCGTTTGGTTGTAAAAAAAATTCCAGTTTTCTAGGAAAATTTTCTAAGAAAAACAGAAATTTTGAAAACGCGTTTGATTCGTTCAGTTTTCCAAAATTTTCCAAGAAAATGAAAATTTTACGTTTTCCAAATTGTATGTAAATTAGAAATTTGATTTTTACAGTTTTCCAAAGTTTTCCAAATTTCTAAGATGGAAAATGAAAAGTCCCCCGGTTTCAACTAAACACGTTTTCTAAAATTCTCATTAAAATTTGAAAATGAAAACACAACTCTATTTTCTGAAAACATTTTCTTAGAAAATGAAAACAATTTTCCACAACCAAACGCATCCTTAGTGTACATCCTTAGTGTACTTCTAACTGTGGTCAAAAGTTATTTTAAAATGACTTTTCCCTTGTTAACTAGAATGGTCCATAGACTTATGTATGTTTGTCACATTTAACCATTCACATCCACATACAAGTTTTTCCTTTCATAAGCTGATGGTATTCCTTGTTTGATCATATAGGGTTATGGATTTCTACTGAAAACGTTTTCAACCCAAAACAAATATACGAAATAAATGGGCCTCCAGCCTGAGTTTAAGTCCTTCGGAGTTGAAGCAAGTATTATAAACATAACTAGACGAATCTTCACACGTTGCGTAAGAATATATTACAAAGTGTTTTTTAACAGTAAACACACACATCCACACAATTATTTAGTCCTTCTCCTAATTCTATAAGTTTTGACTTAATATTTATATATGCAAAA